TCCGTTAATCGGTGAATCTAGTATGTCTAGGTACTGGGATAGAACCCAGGGCTTTCATTACAAGGGGCGAACATTTGTCTAAAGGCCAAAAACGAGGTATTGTCAAGGACGACAACAGGAAGCAGAATGATCTTTAGTAGTTAAGTAGCCCGTTATTATCATGCAATAGGGATAGCTGGTACAACGCTTACGCCAAATCTGCAGGGATAATATTTAGAGATTTTTCACAAAGGACCAAATTTGATAACCAAAGGAGGAATTTGGCCAAAAGAAGAAAACTGAATGAATGATGAAAAAAATGCTGTAGAATCATGGTAGACGAAGTCTATTGTTTGATAAAGAATAGTTGGATAATGGAGGATTAAAGAATGAGAGATGACAATGTTCACCGAATTTGACTAAGAGGTACATTTCCTAAAATGTAATGCTTGGTGAAATTTGGGGTCTCGGGACGGATGACGATATCTGATGGTACACAAGGAGTTTGATGGAAAATATCGTTAAATGAAAGGGAAAATGATGAAGAGTGTTATGTACAGCGTGAATGCAAGGAGTAACATTTACGTTATTCTCGTCTTTAAATGATCACGTGACTTTATATATGTAACTCATGGTGTATCTTGTAAGTATATTAAGTAATGTTCGTACGATATACATCACAATCTAGCCAGAGACTTTGTGTGTGACGTTTTTGTGATTACTTTGAGTCATCGTACGTCCTTCGTCAATACTGAAGCCATTCTTGTTATCGTTATTTCTTGAGAAGTAGATTTCTTGATGGAATTTTATTTTAGTTGGCCCTTGAACCGCAGTTGCGCATACACGATTTGATTTTCGGACTTATCGGTAAAACAACGTTGTCAACAGGCGGCCATCTTTGATTTTGACAATTCTAGTTTACTATCGTTATTTCTTGAGAATTGCTGTATGGACCATTTCCAAATTTTGAAAAAGTGCCCATCAGGTTTTTTTTATGTAATCAGTTTTGTGGGATTATCGTAATAAACGCCGAAATACAACAGTTATCGCCCATCATCGCTCGTTCGATAAGTCTCAAAGTTCACACCTTAAAGGCATTACATGATCGGTAAGACAAATAAACCTTTGAACGTTTTACCTTTGTTGTCCACACTTCTTCAGATGTACTCGAGCAGGATTCCCTCAGTCCTTAGTTGTGCCTATCCAGTTTTGGAATTGATCGGAAAAAAGAAACAAAGAACAGCCATTACTAAATTGGTCAATCTTAAATCTAACATACAAGTTCCAGGTGTTGTGCATAACCCAAACTATGGATTGACAGCAAAATAGCTGTCACACTGTCATTTTGGACTAGTTAAAAGATTTCCTTCACAATTACTTGAGGAGGTACTGGATCGATATTTCTCAAATTGCATATATAGGTTATGTTATCGGGGAATTTGGTATGGTAACAAATGACTTGTCCAGAGTGCTGAGTCCCTCTCTTTATTTCTTTTATTATTATTCTTTTTCGCAACTTTTCATACAAAAGAGTTCCAATATAAGTAATACCAAATGCTGAATCGTACCTAATCCAGTGAGCGATGGAGCGATAAGACCAAGCAATTATCGCCCATCTCTTCACCCATTACATATACACAGCAGTTCTTCTTGGTCCTAAGTTGTGCGTGCTTGTCGCCGAAGACTGATCTAAAAAAGAAAACGGAATGCTGCAATGGTCTTTTTTTAGTTGTGCGTTTTTTTTTTCAGGACAGCATAAGAAAGGATTTTGTATAGATTTGAAACTGGTTAGAAAAGCAAAATGCCTCCATTCAGTATAATTCTTTATTTCCAAATGCAGCATATATACATAAAGGTTGAGAGAAAAGCAGGCTTGTAATAACTTTAAAATGGTATTATGGCACCTAAACGTTCTGGAGCTCATCAATGAGCTCTTAATCTTTTAACTGTTTCAAAGATGTTTATATTTATAGTATGTCCTTCTGCACTGTACGGTTGTGAACTTTGGATACTTTCAAAATCCGAAATATTGATGCTGGAAAGGGTCCATCGTTTTACTTTAAAGTCAATACAAGGTCTAGAAAAAAGAACTAGAGCTGACATGTGCACATCCCTACTGGGATGGATGTCCTTAGAAGCATTTATTGATACCAGAATTTTTTTTTTATGAAGGTTGTGCAGAATGGAAAGAAGCACGTAACTTATCTAATAGATTTTTTACATTGAGGTGCTTTTTATACAACTTAAATGAATATACCAAAGACAGTTATATACCAGACATTTTTAGAATATTGAAAAAGTACAACTTATATGAGTATTTTGAACTTTTACTAAATGTTGGCACATTTCCAAATAAAATATGCTAGAAGAAAATTGTGTATAAGTTCGTTTTAGATTAGGAAACCAAAGATACCGATTTTTCAATATTTTTATTACTACACAATCAATTAAAACCATACTATTTATGGAAACTAGCTTTACATTCATTGCCAAGTGATAACATAACTAATATTTTGCTCGGAGGCCCTATGACCTATCAAGACAACAAGCATGATTTTGAACAATTAAGGTTAATTTCAGTGTATCATGTAAAAATGATAATTGAATTGTATGAGTATATATAGGTTGTTGATTAATCGGAATTCCAACCTTGATTTCTTGAATATATCGGAGATATGGATAACTGCACGGAACATTCAAAGTTCGTGGTTTAGCACTAAAATATTTATGAAAAGTGATTATTTTAAGTCGGTGGTGACAAAACTGTCGATGTATCTATAGAACTATTTACATGATTTAAATTTGGTTCGCTATTTTAGAATTCACAACTGTACGTGAATTTATCAACTAAACTACTAAAATGCGTAGATTTCTATAGGTAATCCTGAGACGCAGACGAGAAAGTACGAAGCGGAGCCTGCAAAATAACTATTTGCTGTTATTCTTGAATCGGGGAAACCCCACTTCTGATTGGTTGTTATTTTTGCTTCACCACAGGCAACTCCTTTGGAAGAAACTCGCTCCACTTGTAGAACCGGTTTGTCAACTACGCTTGAGTTGGCTCCAGCCTATTGAGGTTTAAAATAGTATCAAGAGACGGGCTTTTCATAATGAAAACCTTAGCATATATTATTGTACCTGTTATAGACCGTACTCAAGGTGTGGTGGTGATTCCGCGAGGTTGCAACCACGGGTACGGACCATCGAAGTGGCCAGTAGTGCATCATTGGCCAAAACAGACCTGCAATAATATTCAGCAGGCAGGATCGGACTTATATTTTTCGGATTTTGATTATTTATTAACATCAGGTAAATATTGAATTTTATCTTACATTTTATAGTTTAGATACCGGTTTGCGTGTATTTTATATATGGACCATGCTTCAAACACGCTGTATAGCTACTGTACTATTCTAAACATGAGCAATCAAATGTCGGATGCAATATGACAACGATAATTTAGCATTACCGATGGTCAAGTTATAATTGACAAATTAATGATTTAATCGTGATCTAGTATAAGACAATCACAGGACATAATAGTAATAACGTAATGTTGATTGACAGACGGGGGCTTGGATCTGAATGATGGGGTTGGGTCTAGATGGCAATTTCAGTGAATTATTTTGATAAATCTTATCTGCTAAATGTTTTGCTATTTGACATTCGACATATCTTCACCAGAATGGAGAAATTGCAACAATTAAGCTATCCTACATTATGTATAAGATTACATAAACACAAGTTACATGTACCATACACATTATAGGGTGTAGCCATAGGAAAATGTTTGTACATGCATAGTATCTATATTACACATTTCAAGAAACAATTACCATTATTTGACGACCTTAGATTGATTTTTTACTATGTATCTTGATTAATGATATAATTATACTGACATACATTTTCACTAGTCTTTCATAGATTTATGTCTTGTATAATGTAATGGTTTATTTTTTATGTTTCAAATCATGATTTAAATTCAAATGAAATCATGAGGAAGTATGACCCTCCTCATTTTGACATTATAGCAAATTGTTAATTATCTTTTTATTCAGTTAGAAGGGATGTCAAAAAATAAAAGTAAAATAAGTGGAACTGGAATTTAAAAACAAAAAACATGCATTTGTTACGTTAAACTTGTGTTTTATATATATATATAAAGTAAAAAAATACTCAAATAATTAATTATTAAATAAATGCAAATTTAAAAATTCTTCAATTTTATCCAAATATATTTGCATTATATCAGATGAATAGGGGAATTTGTTATTGAATGGATCACCAAGAATAATTACAATTACATTACTTTTTAGTACTTGGAGGAGATTCTTACAGAACGACAGTAGTACTGTAGGCCTATAACTGTACATTCTAGGTATTGTCAGTGAAAACAATAGGGGTATCATCATTATTATCAAGACATTCAATAATGTATTCGATTTTTCGCTCCATATTTTCTGTATTGAAGTACCCGTAAGTTGTCAAACAGGTAGCCTGATTTAGGTGTATCATGGGGCTTGGCCGAGTCATTCATGTTATATCATGCTTCAGTGAACACCAGTATATAGCGTCTGGCTACTGGGTGGGACTTCATTATTGACATCTCCAAATAAAATGAGAAATATTGACAAACTGAACATTTAACGCTATAAAGATCTTGACATTTTCAATTTTTGATTATTTGTTTTTTGAAAAAACATTGACAAGGAATTCATTTGACTAAAATGTACACATATCACTTCAAAATTTTCAGCCCTACATACTTGTAGATGTAGCTGCAGATTTAAAGTATAATTTTCAAACATATCTTAACTTTGCTCCTCCAAAATTGGTTGACTTATATAACAGAATTTTTTGAATTTAAAAAAAAAATTAGTGATATTATTAATAAATGTATCTATAATACATAGGTAACCTGTAGTAATATGGGTTGTAAACATGGTCTCACATTTTGTAAACCATTGCAATATATTGTAACATTTCTCGAACCTTTTGTATATTTTTTGGAGGTACGTATGGGAGTGGGCATATTACAAGAAAATGATTTTGAATTTGTTGGCATTTCTGCAAAACCGAATACCAGGTAGATATGGATGGGCTTATTAGTGAATTTCTTGGTGTAGATCCTTCAGCTGATTACTTTAAATTGAATGAATAGACATTCAAAAGATAAAGATGTATAGAAAAATATGAATATATTTGACATCCATGAAACAAAATTCATGTTAAATTGTAAATTATACTGTTAATCATAACATGACACTGATTGTATTTTCTACTTTCAGAAGAAGACTTGTGGCATCGTCCACACCCATGGCTGCCTCAGCCGGAATGGATTCACTGGGGCTCCTAGTCACAACCCTGGTGATAGTTAGCTATGTAGCTGCTCAGAACCGTAAGTTTTATGTTGTGGTTGTTTTACAAAAGAATTTTGGCTTCCAATATGTACAGGTAATAGTTAACTGTAGGACACCATGGATAAAATTCTTTATCTCCACATACAACTTGTATTGAAAATTCATAGATCTGTACCTTGCATATTAACCCTCCTAATGTGATTGTTTGCGATGTTTTTCTGGTGGTTACCTATTGGAACTTTGTCTGGATATTTGACTACTATTTCTTTTGACGCTGTCCCTTTTCATACTTGCCCAATCTGTGATTATATCTTCTGAACACTACAGTGCTGTTAATTTGTATATTCCTTAATTACTTAAATTCATTATTCTTTTCTAACTTACCTTTAATACAACAAATTTGTTTAAAAGTAATTTCCCATTAATTCATCTAGTGACTTTCTCATCCCTCCTGACGACTCCTTTGATATTTTTTTTGCAAAATTATTTAAATCTATATTCCCTTTAGCTCCTTATGTTGATGATCTTTCCTTACACATCCTCAAACTCTGTCAGTTTGTAAGATGTAGTTGTGACAATATGCAGCTGGTGTTGTTAGTTGAGTTGTAGCTGTAGCAGTGTGATTGTGCCAGTTAGGATGTAGTTGTGTAAATATGTAGCTGGTGTTGTTAGTTGAGTTGTAGCTGTAGCAGTGTGATTGTGCCAGTTAGGATGTAGTTGTGTAAATATGCAGCTGGTGTTGTTAGTTGAGTTGTAGCTGTAGCAGTGTGATTGTGCCAGTTAGGATGTAGTTGTGTAAATATGCAGCTGGTGTTGTTAGTTGAGTTGTAGCTGTAGCAGTGTGATTGTGCCAGTTAGGATGTAGTTGTGTAAATATGCAGCTGGTGTTGTTAGTTGAGTTGTAGCTGTAACCTTTTTATTGACCATGCTTGCAGTTTGTGACCTTATTGTTAGTTAGTCTTATCAGATCATCATGTCTTGGTCTGATTGACATTTCCATCAAGGTTGGACAATATCTGACCTAGTCACTTTACAGCAATAGTTATTGGTCCACATAATGAAGTATTTGTCCAAGAATACTATCATTCCAATGTACTAGTTAATATCATGACCCTCAACAGTAAAACTACTGTTATATTTTTTTCAGAATGCTTGTAGTTAACAGTTTTCTTTGTACATGCCCCTTAGTCACCCTATATTCATCCACAAAGGGTTAACAAGTTGTAATGATCTGATTCCAATGTCATCATATTGACATGATCACCGGACATACAATAAATACATATTTGTATATTTAGTGAATACGGTTCATCATGTCAAAAGAAATAATAGTGTTGCTTTGTGGTTTTAAATCATGATGAAAAAAAATCTCTCAGTATGATTAATCTTTGTTTTAACTTGTAATCATTTTTAAGGTAAATACCACTGTTTAAGTCAGGAGAGAAAGCTCTCTGTTTTCTTCACCTTGTCATACAAATTAATGTGAAATTAACATTTACCAAAATACTATATATATTTGACACTTGTATATTCTGCTTTTTATTTTCTTTCTTCAGCTTGTGAATTAACAACTGGCTCAAGTACAGCTTCCAACCCTACTATAAGACTTGATTTCGATGAAGCTACTGCCACTGGTAAGTCAAACTTTAGGGATGATTTTGTTGGAAAAACTGCCTGATAAATATCTTACGATTAATGTGCTGTACACAAGCCATAAAAAATGTTTATAAATGTGTGATAAATGTGTGCTGTAAAAATTGTGTGATGAATACATGCTGTAAGTGTGATGAGATAGATTCGTGCTTTAAATATTTTGTGATAAATATGTGCTGTAAATATGATGTTATGACTATCTGCTGTAAAATAACAAATGTCTATTTATAGACATATTTTTGTACAACAAAGGTTCACACATACTTAGGTTTTATGTACATGATGTTTCAGTTGATATGTAAATGTATGTATGGTAATTAAGTCAGGTGATCACTGATTGGTCAGTATAATTGGCCTCTGTGGGCTTCGGCGATCCCTGTTTGTCCGACCAGGGGTCAGTTTGCCCTTGCGGGGCTATTGAAAACCCCTCTTCAGCAGCATTTTTCAGACACTTCGACGCCATATTGATTTTTTAATTTTCTCTGGAAGTTTTCTTTTTATTTGCAACCTAACTTTATTATTCGTCTGGATTTATTTTACAACATGATTGGACAATTTTCTACTGCTACAGTTGGATTCCCTTCCCTTGATTTGGAGTCGTTGGTGGCTTTGTAAGCCTGTTTGTTACCTTTGCTCCAAATATGTTATTATGAAATTTTTATATGTACATGTTAATTAAACGAGGTTAAAAATAAATGGCTTATCTATTCTAAAAAAGGGTATGCCAAGATTTTACAGCCAATAGGATTGTTTGGTATTCTTTTCTTGACATTTAGAGCGAACAGAGCTCGAGGTATGGATCATTTCTTTTATACTTTAGAAGGACAAAAATGATGTTATAGTTTAATGCTGTAAATGTGATGTGACAAATATGTGCTTTAAAGATGTGATAAATGTATGCTGTAAATGATGTGAGATATTTTTTTCATATAAACGTTGAGATAAATGTGTACTGTAAATTTTGTGTGATAAACATATAGAGTAAATAATCTGTGATAAATGGATACAATAAACAATATGTGATAAATGTAGACTGCAAGTGTTATATGATAAATGTTTATTGTAAATGCTGTTTAATAAATGACAATGAATTTGTGCCGTAATTGTGGCATAGTGAATTTGTGCTGTAACTATGGAATAATGAATTTGAGCTGTAACTATGGAAAAATGAATATGTGTTGTAACTATTGAATAATGAATGTGCTGTAACTATGGAATAATGAATTTGTGCTGTTACTTTTGTATGATAAATTGATGTGCAAATATATGTTAAACGTCTCATTGATTAGATGTATTGTATAAGTATTCTAATCCACACTATTTGACTTCATTATAGACCTGCTAAACTTAGATGCTTTCACTGCGTTCAGTACTATCTTTGGAACCCTAAGTCCTGGTGTCAATCAGATAAGTCTGACCATTATTGATGAGGCAACTATCAAGGAAAACGAACCCAATGGAACATCTCACTTCCAGCTTGTTGAACAAGATCTATCGAGTCCAATCAATGGAGAGACAAAGGGTGTCTTCATTCGACTCTTTGCCCCAGTAGACAGAGATGTATGTAGTCCTCATTTCTTTAGGCTCTTGAAGCATTTTCTTATTTTGTCCTAAGATTTTTATGTTCAGAAGTATAAATATTGGTAATCTAAGAATATTATCCCCTCACATTGTCTCAGAATTAAGTAATATGTAATAGTACGCTAAAATTTGATTTCCCCAAATTAAATACATCATCAGTATTTATCTATTTGGATTGATTTCTTTTATTTTCTTGTTCATGTAATGGATGTTTGAATCTTAATTGATTCATTTATTGTGTTCTCTGTGCAGGGTGCTGACTTCAGAATCTCTGATGATGTAGATGTCGCGTCATTTAAGCTGCAATGTAGAAATGTCCTCGACACAACGGTAAGGTTTAACACTTCAGAAATGTCAATGACTTATCAGTAAGGTTAAACAATGTAGAAATGTCGGTGACTTATCAGTAAGGTTTAACACTTCAGAAATGTCAATGACTTATCAGTAAGGTTAAACAATGTAGAAATGTCAGTGACTTATCAGTAAGGTTAAACAATGTAGATATGTCAATGACTTATCTGTAAGGTTAAACAATGTAGAAATGTCAGTGACTTATCAGTAAGGTTTAACACTTCAGAAATGTCAATGACTTATCAGTAAGGTTAAACTATGTAGAAATGTCAGTGACTTATCAGTAAGGTTTAACACTTCAGAAATGTCAATGACTTATCAGTAAGGTTAAACAATGTAGAAATGTCAGTGACTTGTCAGTAAGGTTAAACTATGTAGAAATGTCAATGACTTATTGAAAAGGTTTAACAATGTAGAAATGTCAGTGACTTATCTGTAAGGTTAAACTATGTAGAAATGTCAGTGACTTATCAGTAAGGTTTAACACTTCAGAAATGTCAATGACTTATCAGTAAGGTTAAACTATGTAGAAATGTCAGTGACTTATCAGTAAGGTTAAACTATGTAGAAATGTCAGTGACTTATCAGTAAGGTTTAACACTTCAGAAATGTCAATGACTTATCAGTAAGGTTAAACAATGTAGAAATGTCAGTGACTTATCAGTAAGATTAAACTATGTAGAAATGTCAATGACTTATTGAAAAGGTTTAACAATGTAGAAATGACAGTGACTTATCAGTAAGGTTAAACTATGTAGAAATGTCAATGACTTATCAGTAAGGTTAAACAATGTAGAAATGTAGTGACTTATCTGTAAGGTTAAACAATGTAGAAATGTCAGTGACTTATCTGTAAGGTTAAACTATGTAGAAATGTCAGTGACTTATCAGTAAGGTTTAACACTTCAGAAATGTCAATGACTTATCGGTAAGGTTAAACTATGTAGAAATGTCAGTGACTTATCAGTAAGGTTAAACTATGTAGAAATGTCAGTGACTTATCAGTAAGGTTTAACACTTCAGAAATGTCAATGACTTATCAGTAAGGTTAAACTATGTAGAAATGTCAGTGACTTATCAGTAAGGTTAAACAATGTAGAAATGTCAATGACTTATCAGTAAGGTTAAACTATGTAGAAATGTCAGTGACTTATCAGTAAGGTTAAACAATGTAGAAATGTCAATGACTTATCAGTAAGGTTAAACAATGTAGAAATGTCAATGACTTATCAGTAAGGTTAAACTATGTAGAAATGTCAATGACTTATCTGTAAGGTTAAACAATGTAGAAATGTCAGTGACTTATCAGTAAGATTAAACTATGTAGAAATGTCAATGACTTATCAGTAAGGTTAAACTATGTAGAAATGTCAGTGACTTATCTGTAAGGTTAAACAATGTAGAAATGCCAGTGACTTATCTGTAAGGTTAAACAATGTAGAAATGTCAGTGACTTATCAGTAAGGTTAAACAATGTAGAAATGTCAGTGACTTATCAGTAAGGTTAAACTATGTAGAAATGTCAATGACTTATATTTAATGTTTAAAAATGAAGATTGTGATGTGTTTAATGTGAAAGAATTATCGTTGATTAAAGGGGATGGACAGTAATGTAAAAGTTTCCAAATGATGTATTGTATCAGACTGTAATGAATGTAACATCTATCGCTATCAACAAAATAAATATTCTGATGTGTAAAACATATTTTGTAGGAAGTACAAGAAATTCCTATACTTTGTATATTATTGGTATCAGGATCCATTAGTTATGAACTCCTTTTATTTTTTCATTCTAGACAACTATCACTTACAATGTGTTGGTGACAATAAATGATATTAATGACAATACACCTGAATTTGAGGGGTTACCTTACCAGACTAACGTGGATGAGGTGAGTTCAGTGATTAACTACAGGTATATATGTGATATGATGTAATGTCTTGGTTCTATTAAGAAAAAGACCAAAGGACAACCATTGATCAGATGTGATGTCCTTACAAAGACACAATCAGTAGCTCTCTGTATTTTTATATCAAATTGTGATTTCATGTACAAGGTTTCAAAAATTCACACAGGTTTTTTGATATTGATGTTTGAAATTTGTTATCTCTTTTTCTTGAAATAGAATGGAAAGATATTTCTTGAACTTGGTCCCAAGTTGTGTCTTTTCAATTTTGTTTTCAAGAAAACTAAATGACTTTCTGAAGCACATGTTTGATTTTGACTGGTCAAGTTTATCACTATTTCTCTGAAAGTTCTTGTTAAGCCTTTCTTAGATATAGGATTCTCATGTTCTGAAATGATTAAGCAGAAAAGTGGAAAGACGGAAAAACTAGAGAAAAAATCAGTAGTGCATAAAATCAATAAAGATTATTCAATGGTTGGCACCAAGATCCTTCTAGTATCTCTTGTTAGTCAACAGACGACAGCTTTCTAAGAAATAATAACCTTAGAGTTTAAATGTAAACTTGTATTTTGTTTCCTAGTTGGCTGTGGTGGGAACAACCATTTTTCAAGATATCTTTGCCATTGACAAAGATGCTGGAAATAACAGAAAAATAATTTATGGACTTTTGCCGGTATGTAGAATATGATGAAATCTATCAAATTTTGTTAAAGATTTTGCCTTAGTTTTGTTTTCAAGCGTATGAATTAATATTCCCTTTCACCAGAAGATTTTTTTTGATCACCTATGGTTCTATTGCAATCCCCTCTTGTCCTGTGTCCTGCGTCGTAAACTTTTTAGCATTTTCATCGTCTTCTGGAAAACTACTGGACCAATTTCAATGAAATTTTACAAAAACCTGACATGGCTGAGGATGCACCGAACTTGTAAGTTATATGGTCCCCATACTTAATGGGCCTTAGGGGCAAGGCCAAAAAAGGTCAAATTGTTTGAAACTTCACAAATTTTCTCCTGAAATCCCAGGTATAGTAGAATCAAATACTTAACAAGATTTGTAAATTTCATGACCCAAGGGTTTCACATTTCCCCCTGGGGAGGGAGTAAATTTTACTACAGTACATTTAGCAAATTCACATTTTTGAACATTATTTATTTTCTATTGGAAATAGTTCAAACTTGGTTAGAATTATCAGTATAAGATGACAGTTTGATGAGATAAACATATTGACATTGGCTTACCCCCAGAGAGTGATGGGCAGGGCAAAAATGAGTCAAATTGACTGAAATTTCAATGATTTCTTACTATTATGGATGGAAGGTTTCATATAGGAAATTTCAGTCTTTGAGTTTAACCTCATTTAATTCAAACTTGGTTAGAAGCCTTAGCATGGGGCAGCAGTTAATGTTATACACAGTTTACATTTGCATTATGTGTACAAAGCAGTTAAAGTTATCTTACTTTTTTCAACAAAATTATTTCTCTGACATGTTTCAAAAACTATTGTAACTAAGGTGGCCATTAAGACCCTTTGGCCTTGTTTTTTTTTTTTTTTTTTGATTTTTTGTTTCTTCTTGGGAAAAATAAATTTCATTGATTTAATACTATTTGGAAATGAAATGTTTTGTATAATTCCTTTCTATTTTGTAGGGAGTTGGCTCAAGCAAATTCTCTCTAGACACCAACTTCTTAAAGATTGCCAGTCCGTTAGATTATGAATCCCTTGGCACCAACAAATTTTACCTACTGGAAGTCACAGCTACAGTAAGTTTTGAGTATCCAGGTCAGATTGTTAACTTGGTGGAATCATCAGGTCAGATTATAAACTTGGTGGAATCATCAGGTCAGATTGTAAACTTTGTGGAAGGAATGATCAGGTCAGATTGTAAACTTGGTGGAATCATCAGGTCAGATTGTAAACTTGGTGGGAATCATCAGGTCAGATTGTAAACTTGGTGGGAATGATCAGGTTAGATTGTAAACTTGGTGGGAATCATCAGGTCAGATTGTAAACTTGGTGGGAATGATCAGGTTAGATTGTAAACTTGGTGGAATCATCAGGTCAGACTGTAAACCTAAAGGGAAGTCACAGTGTGAAAATATAATCCCTGGGCATATATTCTGCCCAATAGATTACCTGGGCCAGAAAATTAACTATGGATAATCTACATGTTGGAATGTCTACCAAGGGGAATAACTGGGTCATAATGTAAACATTGTGAAATCACTTCAAGTCAGTATAACTCACCATTGAGATTTTATACAGGACAGCGCTCCAGCAGGTACACAGAGGACTGCAACAGCAACAGTGACAGTCAACATCATGGATGCAGATGACCTTAGTCCGGTGTTTGAGTATGCAGGCTGTACAGTGTTCAATAATTTTTGTGTGTTTCCACAATACACTTCTTCAATTACATCTGGCACAACGTCTGTGAGTAAAACTTTTTTCAGAAATTAAAAATTAATAGCTTTATGTATGTTAATGAATTTTAAATCACATATTAGAATGTTTGCTTATGAAAATCACATGTTAAAAAATGTTTGATTATTATTCCAAACCAAAATCAGAATAGTTAACACTGCTTATTCAGTTAGAACTTGTATAATATCTTGTATACACATGACCAGTCAGAACTGATGACTAAGTGATTTGTTTGTTAACCATAAGGAATACTATCTGTTGTGGTTTATGTACCTCTGGTGTTATTTCAGACTCTAATAATTAACAGAAAGGGAGATACCACTACCCCTATTGATATCCGGGCACGGGACAGAGATTCACTCAACTATCCTATCAGCTTTTCCATTTTGGATAGTAGGTGTCTTCTTCGCTTTGATGATCAATGAAAAATTTATATGTAATTTCCATATAACTGAAAGAATTGTATGTTATTGCTGAACAAACATTATTGCATTTTCCACTGTAGAGTTCCCTTTCATATTTGATGTTTTATGACAGAATCTTATGCAATAAATGCCAATACACTATATTTTTTTTTCAGCATATCCACCTAACCTTGGGTCGAGATTTTCACTGTCTGAAGGACCAAATAGCAATGGCTTATACACCACATTCATCAGCGTCAATACTCCTTTGAACATAGGCAGTGAGCCCAATGTGGTTGTCTTCATCCTGGTAATATAGCTTCTTTTGATTTCTTAGTTTTATAGTTGATCTAAACTTCATCTTCAGCTTCAGTTACACAATTAAGACTTGTAATAAAGCCCAAATAATTAGAACAAGAATAGAATTATAAATGTACTGTGTTATGGCACCAGTAGTGATTTTGTGAATATTCCATGATTTTGGTAGAAGCCATGATTTATTAGATCAGAACTCTCTGCTAATCAGCGAGTGATGTGTTTTAATAACCAGGCGACACCTGTTATTCTGCCATAAATCCAATTTGACATCTCCTGTTCTGGCTGCTAAAGCATTTTGCCAAAAATGCGTTGATCTTTAACCTGTTGTTGTATTTATATTTTTGTAGTGATTTGTATGTGATCCAAGAGAAATTTTGAGAATCACATTATTTTTATTTGTTAATCAACTGCTTGGGTAGCACGATTAATGATTTACAATTTATCTATTGTCTTAGTATTTCATGTGGCATTATGGTCTTGACACTTACGCAAGCCAGGTAACTTTAAAGAGTTGCTGAAAAAGGTCGTTTTTGGTGTTTGAGACACAGTAATGAAGGTCGCTGGTTGCATCAGACAAGTGTCACTTAATTCAGGTTATTTAGTAGAGCCACATAGGGAGGACAGATTACTGTCACATAAGTGCTTAAGTTGGATGGCAACTAAGACAGGTTTGAATGTACATGTTTTTGACTAAGAATAATAATAAAAAGTGTGTGATGACATTGTTACAGTCAAACTATAAGTATAATTCTTTAATCCATTTTAGGCACAAGAGTCTGGTCAATCTGGAAACAACCGTACCACTGAGGCAGTACTGGAACTAACTGTAAACCCTGCCAATGTACTTGCACCGGACGTGACTGTACCATTTACTGGTTATGTTGATGAAAATGTACCACTCAACACAGTGGTACAAAATCAAGCAGGAACACAGTTGCTTCGCCTGATCGTCGCTGACCGTGACTTGGTAAAAGTTTTCATTATGATTATCATTGTCTGTGAATGTACATATCTAACAGGAATCTAAATTATAGCATTGTTTGCACTGGAAATATTGATCAAATTATGATTGTGCAGTTTCTTAATCCTACTGTAAATAGTAATTATTTACAGTTTGTCAGGACATGTGATATAATTTTATTGAGGAATTAAGGAGTTTGAGAACAGATGACATCATATTGCTTCTGAGATGAAGATAAACCAATTTGGCAGGTGCTTTCTTAGATATTCTGATGACTAATGAATGACTGATTATGACTGCGTTCAGTAAAGAATGTGTATTGTACTGTTGAATTTACAAATTTGAAAACAAAAATAAACTTGATATGGGCAAGTGTTTTAAAATTACTAGTAGATATTTAATTTTCAGTTCTGATCAGGATTTTAAAATACAATTATTTGAAAGAGTAGATGAAAAATTCCAGAGAAAGTAAGTGACAAGTGATTGGCATACAATGCATTTTGCCTCTCTAGGCGGATCCTTCGGATGGTACATATGATTATGCTGTGAGTGGGACCAGTAACTTTGGTGTGACAGCAGATGGATACATAGTAGTGACAGGAGACTTGAATTATGAAGCTGTGCCTTTTCCCAAGTCTTTTACATTTACGGTTAGTGATTTAAGATTCTTTTGTCAGAAAGTCATTTTTTATGCCTTTTTTGTTTGGTGACCACAAAATTGTTTGCTACAATTGCTCATGTTTAGATGGTTTCAATACATTTATGCCTTTGTGTTACTTCAATCAAATCTCTCAAATCATTGATGTTCCTTCTCTATATCTGAATATTGTAAATTATCTTTAAAAACTTATTTAGTATTTGAGGAGTGAAGCGGTTGGGGTGTAGTGAGTTACATTTAAAGTTAGCTCCCTTGATTATTACTGAATTTGTGTTTGATTATTACTGAATTTGTGTTTGATTATTACTGAATTTGTGTGTTTTACAGGTACAAGTAACAGAGACCCACACCGCTGTGCCATTGTCAACTAGTGTGTCTGTGACTGTGTTTGTCAGGGATGTGAATGACTTGGCTCCAGCCTTCACAGGAAGAGGTTATGCGGATACTGTTGTAGCCGGCGATTATTCAGCTTCACCAAGCAGTCTTATAGCTGTAAGTGATGAGGTCTCTTATTACTCTTGATGTCATTGGTCCATTCCTCCGTTTGTCCTAAACAATTTTTGTTATTTCTATTTCTTGAAAAGTACTGGATGGATCTTTCTCAAATTTCATATGTAGGTTCCACTTGGTCCCTAGATGTGCCCGTTGTGGACAGATCTGAAAAACAAAATGGCCAACAGGCAGCCATCTTGGATTTTGATTTTACAAGTTTATCACTTTTTCTTGAGAACTACAACATAGATCTTATAGAAATTTTATGTGTTTGTTTCCTTTGATCTTTACTTGTGCCCGTTTGATTTTGGGACTGGTGAGAAAAAACCAAAAAAGGCTTTCAGGTGACCATCTTGGATATGGCAGGTAAAGATTATCATTGCTATTTTCGCAAAGGAACGTTCAAATTTCTTATCATTAAGAGCAAAAACAGAGAAAAGAGGGAAAAGATCCAACTTTCAAAGAGAAAATAAAGATCAAACAATAATCGGCGCCAAGATCCCTCTGGGATCTCTTCTTTATTATTATCATTTTGTTTTTGCTTTCATGTCTCAACTATTGCAGTTTTACTAGACACATAATAATTTTCACATATATGGCCTAATTCCGATAACTCGTTGTTTCCAATACCACGTAGATCTGTAGTCTGAGAGATGATATCCCTGTTTGATGATTTACAAATGACCTAACTATTAATTCTCTGTTTCCAATACCACAGAGATGTGTAATCTGAGAGATGATATCTCTGTTTGATGATTTACAAATGACCTAACTATTAATTCTCTGTTTCCAATACCACAGAGATGTGTAATCTGAGAGATGATATCTCTGTTTGATGATTTACGAATGACCTAACTATTAATTCTCTGTTTCCATTACCTTTCTGATCTGAATAGTTACTTGTTTGTTTTTGTTATTTGTAGTGTTATCTTGTCTTTCTACCTAGGTCACAGCTACAGATGGTGATACAGGAGATTTTGGAACGGTACGCTACACAATTTTTTCTGGTGATACGAGTGTTTTTGCAATTGATAATATAAATGGCCTGTTGTCTGTGATTGGAACTGCTGTCAAGGACGAAGTTTATACCGTGGAAGTACAAGCTAGTGACTCGCCTAACACTCCAGTTGGCAGATTGTAAGTCATCAACACCCCTGGGTGTCAGACAGTAGATGTCTATTTCAGTGCATTCTTAGTCTCATAGCAACATATACAGAATGTGTATGAGAAAATGATACAGACCTAATTGGAAAAGATCACTTTGTAATATTAACAAGGAAAATGCAGTTGAGAAAAAAAAAGTCATCAATGTGATAAGTGATTTGAATTAATGTGTCTGCTATGATTAAGTTTTCCTGAATATACCACAGGTTTATTTTGCCACTTGCAATTTTTCTCATTTGGTATGAAATTAGGAATGTCTAATTTTAACAGCCTATTTAAAAAAATGATGAAAGTAAGACACTGGCGAACAAACCCTGTTACACGTTAAAAAGCTTTGATTCCTTTTGCCAATTGCTCTCAATTATTATTCCAGAGACTGCAGTTTGTTCTGTTACATTGTTTTCTATTACTGATATACATTAAATTTCATCAATATGCAAATTCTTCCATCTTAATTTTAACAGAATGATACCAAATGAGGAACACCATTGGTGCTTACATATGGCTGTGACAGTATTGGATACTGAGACTTTGATCAGACCTACTAACACTTTAATGTTACATTGTATTACAGATCTACAGTTACAGCTGTTACTATTACTGTGACACCATCGGGTACTGAGGCTCCAGTTATACCTGCCAGTACTTACACTGTGACAGTCAGCGAAGGAGTGAATGTCGCTTCTTCCATCTTCACTGTTCCGGTAATGCCCTGTTACTTACAGAACTTCTTAATTCCTTTAATTAAATCATTCTATTTAATATATTATTTTATTGATGAAGGTTTGTTAGTTTTCAAATCAAATTGGTTTACCTCCTCTTTTATTGGCAGAGACCTGGAAACTTTCAGTTATAACATTATTTGTGTAATTGTGCAGCACTCAACTCATTCAATTTGTTTGATTGCTCTATACACTTGAATGTTGAATGTTCCTGCCATTTACTCACTACAAATAGATAAAGAATGTATATATGTTTTCAGAATTGGTTCATATTTGATATGTTGTAGACATATTATCAATTTTAAAACCATATGCAGATTTGATAAATTGATGCAGGAGAGAGTCACCTGATTGTCTCAAATTTACATGATGTTCAATTTCAATCAAATAAGGCACATTGATTATGTGCTTTCGTTGATATTATAACTTCAGTTTCCTTATTAGAAAAAGTTGGCTGTAATAAGCTGCTTCTGATAGGTCGGAATTTGTGTTCATTTCACTAAGATTGATACAAACATTTTGTAAGAAGTCTTTTGACAGAATGACTGTAATTTGTGTGGTGTGCTACTTTGTGATTGGTTGAAATTTTGTTAAGTATGTATATATTTTACACACATTTCAATTTATGGCATTTTGATATTAATGAGGAAACCTACTGATAGACAAAGTCATGTAGTTGGAAAACATTTTCCTGCAACTTACACGAGCATCATTTATGACTGAGATAACTGAGCAAACAAGTATAATCAGCACCATTACCATTACAACTTGCTTTGAGAGGGATATATTGTTTTCTCATTATAGGCCTCTGACCCTGAAGGTCAAGCTTTGACCTTTAGCTTTATTTCTGGAAACAACCCGGCACATTTCGCGATCGATAACACGTAAGTTTTGTATCCCACAAACACCAGGCATGGCTAATGCTTCTGATTTACCAGTACTTAAGTTACTAATCAATATTGAGAATAAAATTCCATAAATTATGTTAAGTGCAAAATAATTTGGAATTTGCATCACAATTGGCCTGAATTATCTCTATGGTTCTCTTTGTATTAAACTCTTCAGAGAGAGTTTTTAGCCTTTTAAGGTGAATTTTTTTTTTGTTTTAGTGGAAAGATCACTAACATAGTCCAACTGGATCGGGAGACACGTAGTTCATATACTTTGGGTGTTGTAGTGACAGACCAAACATTATTGGTGAGTATATATCATTTGTGAAGAGCCAATATGAAATCATTGAGTTGGAATGTACTTATTATGTAATCTCAAAGAAATAAAAATGTTTTCTTTACCGATATGTAAGTGTATGTTTTAAATATAAATGAAAATATGATTGTACATTTAGAAAGATTGAAAATGGTGTCATTATGATATGTGAACAATATATGTGATCATAGTACTGTATAGTTGTTTAATTCTATGATTTATGTTTTACTGCCGTCTCAGTTGGGACTAGTTCACAGGGATAAGAATTTGCATAAGTCAATACACAGATACACATGTACAGAGACATATCACAGAGATTTCCTTAAACATGTATCTGGGTTTTCCATAAGAGCCGGTCGCCGGCCAATTTGACCGGCTACTTTGATCATTTGGCTGCCTATACCAATCCAGTTCCGTAATAATGTTCCGTACCTGACTACACGTACACGGCAGGCCAGTCTCCTACTTTCACTACACAGCCTACTACTAACAAAATTATGGAAAATCCTGATATATAATGATTTTCGGTTGTATGTCTGCTAGGTATTTGATGTCGTGCTATCCTCATTGGCCATGAAAATAACAAAAATAAATCCCCTGTGAGCATTACCAACTACTGTGTGCAGTATTAACTACAAGGGTGTCATGTAATAGATTATTAACAGATGGTTGCTGAATAAAATTAAGAAAATTTGTATTTTCCTTATTTAATGATTGTCACAGTAAATCATGTCTTTCTTTCCTAAGTGTCATGATTACATCAGGGATCTATTTTATCTTTTCAAAGTTTGATAAATAAGGAGTGTTTGAAATGATATTTGCAAAAATTCCAAACTGGACAGTTTATTTATAAATCGCTCGTGCTAAATTGATGTTTCTTTTTCTGTTCAGACCGACACAGCCACAGTCGATATTACAGTGACAGATATCAATGACTTCCGGCCATTTTTCAATCAGGCTCAGTATACATTCCAAGTTGCTGAAGAGCAAGTTGGTGCCACTGTTGGCGAAGTTGAGGTAGGTGAATTTCAGAGGTCTTAAAGGACTTTCGGCTTTGCCAAAGTAATTTTAATTGTTTGTATGTTATGACATAAGTACTGTGAGTTTTTCTTGGTATATATGAACCTGTATTTCATAACATTTTTTTTTTCTAATCTTTACAACATTATCATTTATGTATGTTGACACTGGTTTGAAAAGTAATGTCTTTTGAATTTACGAAGGATTCTGTATTTTTCAGGCATTTGATAATGATGAAGGAGCCAATGGGCAATTGGATTACTCTATTTCTCAAGTTTCTACAGGCTCACTGTAAGTTGCCCACTGTTAAGAACTTTTGTATATGTTCGGGAAACCCAATTGTGTTTTGAAATTTGCAACAGTATATTTTGGTGATACTGTTGCATTTGGGTTTTATTTTGGAATGAGTAGCAGAGACAACAGTATAATTATGATGTAGTGCCGCAAATTTGAAGCACGGCAGGATTATTCCTATTTCAATTTATATGGATGTAAACAAACAGGTGCTTAATAATTTAATGCAATTTTGAGCATAATTTTAGAAAACTTGATTTCTTTTCTCAGAATTAATGGGCTTCAGTAAAAATCAGGGACCTTTCGGGGCCATGTTGTTTTTTTTTTCAAACATTATTTTTGTGACATGTCAGGGTCAATCAATGTCATTTACATAATCAACAATTGTTATCTGGGCTAGATATGCAAATGAGAAATTTGCAGGTGGTACAGCGATGATACTGTCTTATTCTTGCCTCCTCTTCTATTTTGTAATGGATTCCCACTCCTCCTTAGGAATGCCTAAGGCAGATGGTGTGTGACAGCAATGTCACTGTGACCTTTGATATAATCTTTGCATATCTCTTACTCTTTTTCATGTCGGTTATCAAATTTGATGTAGAGAGACATATCAGTCAAGCAGATTATCTAGGAATATATATATACTAAGGTCACAATAACCATGTACGTTTTTACAACCAGGGTTTGAGATGACCCATACATTAATGAAGCTCATACTAAACCCTGTCCAAGGTTTTGTGCAAAGATCCCTCTGGAGTCTCTTGTGTAATCATGTAATGTTGAATTACGGTTATTTTGGCATGCAAGATAATTTTTAGTGCTAAACCTTTTTCCTTTTGTATACTGCAGATTTTCGATCAGTAGTAATGGTATCATAACTACAGCTCAGGCTTTGGATTATGAATCCCAGACACAACACATCATCCTTGTTCTAGCAACAGACCGAGGAAATCCTCAGCGGACAGGGACAGCCTCTGTCACAATCAATGTCCTGGATATTCAGGATAATGTGCCACAATTTGTTGAAAGAAGTTATACAGTTTTAATGAATGAGAACTTACCAGCTGGCACAAGTGTAATTAATGTACAGGTAAGATTAAACTTTACTACTGATTTGTAAAGGATAGCAAATATTTATCATGTAGAATGTACAGGTACCATATTGTCTGGATTATAAGCAACTTTCCTCATGGGTCAGGCATGTGGCTTAAAAACTGGTGTGGCTTGTATGTGAATGGAGAAAATTAAAAAAAAAATAAAAATTTGAAGCGAACTGTACCAGGCCTTCATTATTTGAGAGTACCTGCCCACCACGTGTTTGTGACTGAAAAAGGTCATGCAGAACCAACACTTGTAATCATATACAGGATGGTTTGAGAATTGTCTGTTATATCAACAAACTTAGATCAACAAAGTGGTTACCATATCGTGAGAAAGGGCCCAGCATATTTTGTGGTGTGGCTAATATGTAGAACAAATTGAAAATATCAATAAAAATTATCTCTGTGGCCTATATTCTGGTGCAAATTTAAACCCAGAAAATATGGTATATGTTTAAGTACCTCCTGGTGGCATTTCTTTAACACATCAACAACAATGAGCTTAGAATATAATAGCTAATCAACTTTAACAAATTTGTATGGTAGAATAAATCGCATCTAATTGATGTTTGGGCAGTCATCAATTTCAGTTGTTTTCAACCCTTGGTTATTTTAAATATTTTCTTTTTATGCAGTACATGGAACTTTGGATGGTGAAAAAGCATATCTGATTTTTTTGCCATATTTTTTTATTGTAGGCACTTGATGCAGATACCACTGATGCCATCACTTACAAGTTTTCTACTGGGAGTTTCAGTCCTTTTACTATCAACCCGGGATCAGGGTTGATAACACTCAACACACCATTAAATTTTGAAGTTGTGCCGCTTTACATTTTCACGGTTACAACCAACGAAGGCGAGACAAGTTTGCTGCCATCAGTTTCCACCACAGTCACTGTGTCTGTCGTTGTAAGTTAACATTTGTTACTGCTGAAATATTACTGAGTTACCAGTATAGACAAAACCATTACCTCCTAGTGAAATTTATGTTAATCTCTGGTCACTATTTGCATTTTGACAGGATTTGAATGATGCTGACCCAATCTTGTCGGTAGCATCAGCAGATGTTACTGTAGATGAGAATATAGCTGTGGGTACTTACACTTTGTTTGATGTTGATGCAACAGATGCAGATCCCGCTGTGAGTATATAACTCTTTCTTAGTATGTCTTGGAATATACAAAAACAAATTACAGAATTTTTTCTTCATATTACTCATGCTAATTTTGACTTGGACTGCTTTTTGCAGTCTTTTTTGCAAGCCTCATAAAGTTTCAAGTAGGCCATTTAATATTATTATCCTAAACTATAACCACAAAATTGAATGTTCTTCATTCCTAACTGACATTTGTCAGAACTTGGAATTTGGAAGAACTGATTTTACACAAGCAAATTTTGATTTTTGTATCTCATGGTTAAAAATAAATATACTGATGTTTATACTTAAATTGTATTTTTTCAGAACACAGAAAACAGCAGAGTAACTTTTTCCATCACTGGTGTCAATTCAAACAGTCCTTCAAATCCAAACAGTGGAGATAATCTCTTTACCATCAATTCTGATACAGGAGTTATTTCCCTCGCTCAGCCTTTGACATCAGATGCTACTAGAGCTACTGTTTACAATGTAAGTATATCTTCAGACTTTACAACATAGTTATTTTTGTCTTGGGCAATTTTTCCCCACAAAAATTATTTTTGTCAAGTACAAACTAGTATGTTGTGAAAAGTTGTTGATAGATATACTAGGACATTGATGTTATAAAGCACATCTTGCACATGTAATTCTGATAAAATTCATTTCCATGTTCTGCATCAATATTGGACCATGATCCTTTAAATCAACATCTACCTATTTGAAGCTGACATTGCTTGTTTATTTCTTTCTTTCGTAAAATTATTATTTTGACTGAAGAGCAGAAATCGAGATGGGATATGTATGTAAATGAAAATGTCGGTGAAATTTATAAAAAGCACAATGTTTCATTTCACTTTCAAGATAAATGTGGAAGGCCGCGACCATGGAGTGCCAATAAGGACTGGGACTACAACTTTGACGTTAAATGTTGTCAGGAACAATGCCCCAGTGTTCCCTGCCCCACTGACAAGAACCGTGGACAGCAATGCACCCTTCCCAAATGTGCTGTTTACATTTGCAGCCATTGATAATGATGCGGTAGGTTCTCATACCTTGCTGGCAGTGAGGTGATATCAAAATAGATACACAATATAATTGGTAGAAACTGCAAACTGTACGTAAGATCATGAAAACTCCTGAAATCATGCAGATAATAATGAGATAATAGGCCCTGTTTGGTCAGTAAGTACTTTAACCACCAAACATTTGTGCGGAAAAGCTGCATGACATCACAAAATCAGAGTTGATGTTATTATCACTCTAGGCCTTCCTAATTGGTCGACAAATTAAAGGTGAACTTGAAATATTACTAGTTACTTTAGGCAAACTCTTAATTAATCATCAAACAGAAGGAGCCATTTTAATCTTTGTGAAATCTGCGTTTTAGACACTAGGTTTACGGGGACCTCATTTGTGCAATATGATCACTTGGTGTTTACTATAGTGTGGCATACATACCCACCCAGTCACCAATCACACCAACAATGCATATGTCAATCTAAACCAAGCTTCAATGGACATAATATCTTAAATTGCCTTGGAATTTTAAATAAGGAAGAAAGAAGATGCTAGGGAGGATTCACCTGAAAAAGGATACGTACAGTGTTCAAGTTTTTAAAGACCATCTCTTTTGGACTGTTATTATCAAATCTGCTGTGATAAAATATTCTAGGTTGGAGGAAATGTTCTACATTAACTTAAAGGAGATATCATTTGCAATGTAATCTGTAATGATTTTATTTCTTTAGTTATTTTAGGTTGATTTGTGTAAAAGTGTCTTGTACCTTCTAAAGTGTGTAATCCCTTGTTTCATGTTGGAATGTGTTTTCATTTCATAGTTTTTTTTTTTTTTTAATTTACAATGTTAAGATCTGAAATATTGATTCGGTCCAATGGCATTGATTTTGTTGGATTCAGGGTGCGTTTGGAATTCTGACATATTCACTGATTGCCGATGGACGGGTTCCAAATCATTTTGAAGTTGGATCATCAAATGGTGCAATCAGCCTTAGGAGTTCTCTGTTGACTGATGATTCTGATGCATACTATGTAAGTATACTTACTGTAATGCATACGTAAATCTGGTATATACCTTATTGTGTGTATGTTGTATATGGTTATAATATCTTAATTGATTTTATTACATCATGTTTCTTTATATATTCAATATGGTATGTACAACCTTGAGTAATATTGAATATGGCACATACCACCTTAAGTGGTATTTGTTGCATGCCATCTTAGATGTTGGTTTATGTATGTTCCCTGACACATTATGAAATACTTTGTGTACTAATACTGACAACACTGTTTATCGTATTTATGTAATATCATTAATGTAGGAATCTAATATTTCTTGTAAATACAATCATATTTTTGATAATACCAGGTTGAAGTGTTTGTCTAATTAAAACAGATGATTTGGTATTGAAGTATTGATATAATTTTCTATATTACAGCTTCGTGTGGTGGCTGTTGACGGTGGTGATCTGTCAGCTACAGGTACAGTCACAGTCAGTGTAAACAGAAATCTGTTTAATCCTTCTTTCAATGGTGCTGGACCATTCAATTTCGCTACATCAGTACTGGAGAATGCACCTCTGCTTCAGTCTGTATTCCAACTGGCTGGTAGTGATGCTGATCAACAGGTGAGATAATTACATTCAACTTGCTAATTTAAGTATTTCAGATGGTCAATATGTGCTCCTATTTTACTTTTTCAGTTTTATCTAAATAGTACTGCAACTTTTTTTCTCTGTAAATATTTTAATAACACTGCTAAAAACTTCATCATACATTTTCGGTTTTATTATAATAAATTATAATTATAATATAGTACTTGCGCGATTGAAGGGAGGGCAGGGTATTTGAATCTTTTGTTTTTGGGCTACGAAGATGAATGCAGATATTGTATTGTCATACTTAAGTTATGGTGAGTATTACTGAAGTGAAATTTATTTTTTTTTAGTAAGGGTGTTGCTTTTTTCATTTCTGTTTTTTAAGTTGTATTCAAAGTATTGTTACTTATCTTTGTGGCCAGTATTTTGTTAAAAAGTATTGTTTGTTACATAACAGAGGATTTATTTCCACTTCAGTTTTTTTTTTCCAAAATATTGAAACCAATTTCACAACACAGAATTACCCCTCACTTTAGAAATGTACACTAGTCATTTGGTTTCCTTTTTTCAGTCTCCTTACAACCAGATTACATATAGTATTGTGGGTGATACTTTAGCACAACAATACTTCCTTATCACGGAAACCGGGCAACTTCAGCTGAAAAGATCCCCTGCTGACAATCAAGGCATTTCTTCCTTCACTGTAAGTATAAGACAGATAGTAATGAAGATATCTGGCATTTTTGCTTCTTTTGTAGACAACTTAGAATTGATATTGATATTTTGATATTGTAGAAGTTTGCATTACAAGAAATTACTAGTGTTTGCTTAGGAATTTTCCTCCCTTTAGCCTAGAGGTAGGATAGCTGGCCAGGAGTTAAGAGATGTCTAGTTCATTCTACAGCGAAATTGTTTGTAATTTTTTACTTTTATTGTTCTATTAAATGAAATTAACATGTATTTATTGACAAATTTTGTTGTAATATTGTGGAGATCTTGGTCCAGATGTTTGACTTTTATCCATTGTAGGTTACAGTAGGCCTTCAGGATCAAGGAGTACCACCGAGGACTGCTACATCAAATGCTGTGGTCACAGTTAATGTCCTTAGAAACACACTACCACCTATATTTTTCAATCAGACATATACAAGGAGTCTCAATGAAAATGTCCCCTCTGGAACAAATGTTGTTACAGTTATTGCCACGGATGCAAACACACAGGTATTTATACCTCATAATGATTCGGTGACCATGTTTGTTCCAAGTTCAATTAATTACAGACCTAAGATGATAGTGGTGTACATGTATACATGATATTAAAAGTACACATCAGTAGTCCCAATAGTTATGACTGAGATGTGTTAGAGAGATAAATGCAGTCTTACGTTTCCATACCAGTTCCAAGCTTCATGATCACAGTTTATTAACAGAAGTATTAGTTGTAAGCAGAAAAGATATCATGATATTAAAAATGGTTTCTAATTAATTGTAAAAATTTCTTAAATATAATTTTGTAGTTAAATTTAGGATCACAATACTCATGATCTGAATATGAAAATAGTTAGATAATGTAATATTGTCTCTGTTGCATTAGTTTTTGGGGCTATCATTAAACATTGGTCAGAAAACCAAACTATTTCAGAATTCAGTGGTGGCTGGTCAAAATTGCACATTGTCATCAATAACACTGATTTAGTTGATTTGGGATGCATTAAAATTGGTTTTAAAATTGAAGCAATTATCATTCGAAAGAAAATGAAAAGTTTCAAAAATTGGTTTTGACTATACTACTTGTTTTCATCGGAAATTTTGTGTGATATTAAAATGTGATTTTTGTTTCCTTCCACAGCCAGAGTTTAATACCATCACTTATTCCTTATTTGATTCCTCGAATCTGTTTTCCATCAGTTCTAATGGTCAGATCACCACAGCAGGTGATTTGGAAACCCCAACACAGGATCTATACACAGTAAGTTTACACATTCCTATACAGATTGGTTCTAAAGAGATATTTCTATATAAGTTGCATATATACATTGTTAGGTGGATTTGTGATGTAGGGGCTTTCTTATTTTCTAACCATTGTATAACATTTTCAGAAACATGAAAATTATGTTTGAAAGTTCTGCAATAAAATTACAATTTGAAAAATTATCTGTGCAAAGATTGTTTTTGGCTGTGAAAAAAATTGTGTCAACCTGAAGTCAGTTTCACTGAATTTCAAAATACAATTGTCTAAAAAATTGCCAATTGATTTATGGATGGCAATTAATATATCCATTTGATTTATATAAAACACATTTACTTTATTTGTTACAGTTAGTGGTAGTTGCCAGTGACAATGGTAGTCCTGCCCGTGAAGCTACTGCATACGTCTACGTAACAATTTTACGAAACTTCTTCAACCCGGTGTGGTCAGTAACAAGCTTCTCTGATCAGATCCTTGAGACTCAAACTCCAGGTACAAGCTTGACTGGAGTAAACCTGCTTGGTGGCATCGAAGACAGAGACACTAAAGCTCCAGGAAACACCATCAACTTCAGAATGAATACAGGTACTACACCTGCAAAATCACAGCAATATTTCCAGGTGTCCGCTTCAGGAGATATTTCTGTTAAGGAAGATCTTAGAACAGATGGAGATAATTTATATCTGGTAAGTGATTGTACATTTTAAAAAAAATTTTCCTGGTACAGAGTCATTGTCGAAGTGTTCTGAGAGTGTTTTTATACATGAATGTCAAACTGTGCAGTTTAAACTACAGCATTAATTGTATTATATTTAAATAGTATTAGGAGATCTCTGGCTTTCACTGTTAAACTGACATAAATACATAGGTGCCAAATTTAGTCACTTAGTTAATAGGAATTAAACAAATCAAACAAAAAAATTAGATGTGAAATGTAAAAACTGACAAAACATTTATGGAATTGGACAAAGAAACTGATTATGATGTGGAAAAAGGATTACGCCAGTAGAAATAATGCTTACATTAAAATTATTTTGTATATCATTTACAAATTTATTCAAAAAATAGTTGTCAAGATACTTATTCCTTTAACACTTTCTATCCATTTGAGTCTGGTGCATTCATGAGCAGATTTATTAAACAAAGTTGTCTGTGGTTTGTATTGAATGAAATGAGTGACCTTTCTGTCTTATTTCAGTTGTATATAGATGCCTATGATTTGGGGTCTCCATCCAGAGAAAGTGTTCAGACTGCCACTGTTTCTATTGCTGTAACCCGAAATGATGCTCCGACATTTACAAATCCTACTTTTACACAAACTGTCACAGCCAGCATTAATCAGGGCTCTACTGTTTTTACACTTACTGCTCAGGATCCCAATATTGGTGTAAGTATATATGAATATATATCATAACAAAAATTAACAAGAGGAAATGTCTTGGGTGCTAGCCAAGATTTCCTCAGAAGAGCTTTATTCATTACAATAACTTTAAAGAATTAATATTTATCATAGAAATATATGATAAATACTGTAACTTTCATTTTTTTTTTGATGCTTCAAATTTCTTCAGTTTTACAAAATATCATTGTTACAAGGAAAGGTTTTCACTGAAATAATGAAACAGATGATAGTTCTCTTTCTTAATTTTATGGTCAAGGAGTCTATTTTTTATGATTTTGTTTCATCCTTGAAAATATACTGATTTTAACAGTACGTGGACATATGGATTCGAAGATTAAGTGTACCTATGAAATGAATGAAAATGAATCTATATACATAAAAATAAATGCATAAAAACAAATGATTTTACACTAAGTAATTTTTATACTACATGTATATATCATTCATAATTTTAACAGTAACAAAAATTTTTAAACCATTATGGAACTGTTGATTAACTTTTAAATCACTATAATTGATGCAGAGTGTGCTAGGGGTCTTAAGAAATATATCTTATATTCATATTGGTTAAATCCTAGCTTATATATTCGGAAGGGAAGAAAGGACTGAAATTTGATTGAGCACTGATTAAAAAGGGAAATGACAAGTGAGATACATAGATTGATTTCATGTCTATAAGTCTTTGTAGCTTTGTTTTTGGTAACAGTATTATGATAGTATGTTAACATAGAGTACAATCACTTTGTTTCCAGAAGGTAGAGTTTTGTAATTATCATTGCTTTTCCAGGTTCCTGAATTTAACCAACTAACTTTCACCTTGTTGGGAATTGATACAGCCTTGACATACTTTGAACTCGGTTCTCGTACTGCAAACACCGTAAATATTGTCAGTCGAAGCTCTCTGCTTGCTGTGACTGAAGATACTTTCAAGGTAATATCAAGAAAATGCTCATTTAATTCCAAACTTTAAAAAAAAAAAACCAAAAAGTAAATGCATACAAGATTTTATTCATTCGCTTTTACTTCACAAGAAATCAGTTAGGTTTTCGTCAATAAATGTAACTATTGTTCACTTACTTATCATTATTCATTGTTCATAAAGAGATGGCTTTGTATTTAAAATGATTTCAATACATTTTGCCTTAGCTTTTGGTGCGTGTACAAGACAATGGTTCGCCATCCCTCAGCAATCAGAATATCGTCACACTTACAATGCTGAAGAACTTGAATGCACCCGAGTTCATTGTACAGAACTATAACCAAACAATTCTGGAGACACAAACTGTTGGCAGCAACATTGGAGTGCAGGTTCGGGGCAGAGATGCAGATGCATTGGTAAGTGATAATTTATTCTACATGTTGAGTCTAACACTGACTCACTCAAATCCATTGACTTCTACGTACTATTGAAATTGTTTTGATTTTTATCTAATTTGCATATTGGATAATTGTTCAGTTAATGTTTTGGTTTTAGATGTGTTCGAAACATTTCACATTGAAGTGGCTATCATTAAATCATTTTAACTAAAATTCAGCTTTAATCTCTGTTGCAACTTTTGGAATAAAGCAACAATGGATGGTTTTATGTTTAAATTTTGAAGATTTGAAAAATTTAAGGTTTTAGTAACTTTTTCTCATTTACGTCATTATTCAAACACCTAGATGTCTAAGGGAGAGTAATGTTATTGGATAATAAATGCAATCTGTGAGACAGAAACACACTGTAAAACATTGTTTTCACCAAGACTTGTAATTGACATTTTATTTTGTACCTTAGCCACCACATAATGTTGTCAAGTATGAGGCACTTGGAGAAGCAGCAACCTTGACTTATTTTGCCATAAACAGTAATGATGGTCAAATTTCTGTCATTCGACCTCTGACACTTGAAGAAAATGATAGGACTTATGTTGTAAGTATAACATTAAGAAATGGCTTTAATGAATTAGTTATAAGTACTACCATATTTTCTGGCCTATAAGCCGTGACTTTTTTCCGTGTGAGTCAGGCATGCAGCTTATATGCCAGTGCGGCTTATACACAGACTAAACCAAAAAAATCAGCAGAAATGGGAAAGAATGTAGTACCAGTACAAGACTTCATAAACTGTTTCTTATGAGTTTGTGACTGAAACAAAGTGCGTTCAATCAATTACAATCACATACTAAATGATTAGAAGATTGCAATCAAATAACATTGCCACAGATTTAATTAATCATACCTGATGATATGAAACAGTGATATATTCTTTATTTATGTGGTTTCTTCACAACAGTATTAGCCAGAAAGCATAGTGGATGTTTCCAGTAGTGTTTTGTGTGTTTTTTGAGAACCTTTAAGACACTGTGAATTTTTTGAAGACATACATACTTATGTAAATATTTACAAATTCCTGAAAATTAACGGAAAAACTCTTTGTGGGCCCACCATGCACGCTTACACACTGATATGCTATGCATCATAGGGTGAAGAAGTCAAATTCTAGAATGGCCGTCATGTTTGTTTACAATGTCCGCAGCGTTGATGCAGCTTACAAAAACGTATTATAGGATTATAGGAACTTTATCAATATGCAATAGTCTGTGTTGATATTTAACAATACAGATGATGGTGGAGAGGTTGTAATACTGTTTGTAAGTCAGGCCCTACCTGTGCGTTGGCAATCACGAAAGGCCCCAAACAAGTTTGATGTCTTATGTTTTTTAAATGACATTATCAAAAATACATCAATAAAATAAAGGATTATTTGTGCAAAATTCATCAGTAAACTTTATCAAATGCCACACTGACGATCTTGATAAACTGCCTCCTGTTATCTGTTAACGGTGTATGAAACGTCAACAACAGTGGTCGTCATGTCTTAAGAAAGGATGTGGATGAAATATGTGAAAATCGCTAAAAACGGGATGCAGTTCACAATTGTATCGGGCAAAGCCTCTATATACATATATGAAGGAAATGTATAAAATGTTAAAATTCTAAATTGAGAATTTTTTCTCTTTAAAACAAAATTCGAGGATTGAAGGGAAAAAAATAAAAGTCCTTAAATGATAGTGTGCATGATTACGCCTGAGTAGATCAGTGTTTGATTTATGTGGCCAGCAATTAAAAGAACTTTGTTGTATATATGTTTTCAGTACTTTGATGCTGAAAATTTCAGTAAGGTTGATTTTTGGAATAGACATTTGTATTGAACAGCTTAACAGTGTTGATATTCATTTTAATGTGTTACACAGATGCGGGTGATTTTGAGAGATTCTTCCTTGCTGTCACAACAGACAGGAACAGTATCCATAACTGTACGACGAAATAATTTTGACCCTTTTTTCACAAATCTACCTTCTGTAGAGTCTGTTGCAAGGACTGCCCAGCCTGGTGCCAGTCTTTTTACTGTTCTTGCTACAGATGCAGACTCGGTTGTAAGTATTGTTAGGCTATTGTCACATAACTAAACAATTTAATAATTGTTCAGTTTGAGATTTTTTTTATTTATGGAGAAACCCAACTCACATGGGAAACCTGTCAACACTTATACCAATGAAATTTCAGACTTTGTCACTTTGAATTTTAACTGGAATTTTTTTAAAGATTGATATAATGGTATGATAAGATGTGTTTTTTAGCCTGTTTAGATGAAATTATGAAATATTTTCTTATCACCAACATTTGAAAATGGATTTAATAAATTGTACATATATATATGTTTTTACTTATTGATATTTCACCTTGAGAGTTTTCAGTGAATTCACAATCTTATTTTAAATGGATACTCCAGCATCAGCTCCCTTATTCAATGTGTAGATTAGAAATAATTGATACACTTTTTTTTGTCTATTCAACAGACTCCATTCAATAGTGTACAATATGCTATTGTGGCTGGGAATACCGGTAATGTGTTCAACATTAACAGCAATACAGGGGCAGTTACTCTGGGCCAGTCTCTCCCAAGTCTCACTGTAGCTACTTATGTAGTAAGTATATATGGTAGTCAGTTGAAAATGTTATCTCTGATGAATCCTCAACATATATATACTGGCTTCAATTTTATTATTCCTCTGCACAATATAATTTTCAGTTAGAATTTTTACATTGTTAATTTTAAGCTTGAAGTGTGTATATCATTTAGATTAATTTCTTTTTTTTAACAGTTGTCAATCATGGCCTATGATCAAGGGGTGCCTAGTCGTGTGGCCTACAGCTCACTGACATTCAATGTGGACAGTAACCTTGAGACACCTAGGATAACTAAACCCACAGCTGGTGCACTTTATCAGGATACAGTTAACATCATTGAAACAATTCAGTTTGAGTCACTAGTGTATGATGTTGTAGCTGTGGACACTGATAATACGGTAAGTTTGAAATTTCTGTGAATATTTTTCTTTCAACTTGCTTGAGATTATGATTGTATTGTATGAACACAATAAATGTGAAAATGCATTTTTGGTTTACCTACTCTTCCTACAATTACGGGCATTACTGGATTTGTTGAATGAGATAAGATGCAAAAAAGTGTAGTAGGTGTAACAACTTTGTTTCCAGAGCCCATTCAACACTGCGGCCTATACAATTGTTTATTAATGTGTGACAACTTTGTTTCCAGAGTCCATACAACACTTTGACCTATTCAATTGTGGGGACTGGGAAAGGTCCGGATTACTTTTCTATCAACCCAGACAATGGAGAGATTCGAATCAAGGCATCATTGTTGCAGGACTCGGCTAGAGATACAACATATACTGTAAGAAACCTAGGCTACTTCATTCATTTGTAATTAAAAGTCAATTTTCTACAGAATTATGAGACATAATTTTCACTTCCGGAATTTGCCAAATAACAATTTTCATATATTAACAGGATATTAAATATTTCCATGTATAAAACTTTAGTACATGTAGCAGATGAACCAGTATGGAAATAATGGTCTTATATCATATTGATATAAGGTCAGTTGTTATCCTCCACTTAGTAAAGAATGGATATTTACACCCTTCACGTTGTTAAGAGTTAACTATGTAGTATTCATTTGTCTGTGCCCCCTGTTTATCCATCCATAGTATAATGCTTGTGTACAAGATATATAACATGACCCTCTCAACACTTATACAATGCTTACAGCATAATATAACAAGAACAAACTCCTGATTATACATTGGTGGTTAACAGTGGGGGATAAAGAGTCAAAGGTTACACTTGATGACCACCATTGAAAATGCTTCTGTAAAAGATATCTTATGACTTCCAATTATTTCGTTACATTTACACCACGATATTGAGTTCTACACTTGATTAGAGTTTGTTATTTTGAAATTTGGCAACTGTTTGAAAAAAATCAAGTAAACAAAGGATTATTACTATGAGTAACAATGATTTTGTAAAACTTTAAAATCCAGGTTCTTGTAAGTGTTCAAGATGGTGGCAGTCCGCCCAAGGTTGCTGTCAATACTGCAACTATCACTATCATCGTAGACAGGAATGACTTTGCTCCACAGTGGCAGAACTTGCCATACAATATGATAGTTCCAGAAAACATCGGAGTCAACAATGTATTAAACTCTGTTCAAGCTCAAGCCACAGATGCTGATACCTTTTACAATGTAGTACGCTATGAAGTGATTGGTTTTGGGAGTGCACCTGTTTACTTTCAAGTGAATGAGGTGACAGGTTCCATATCAGTGAGGTCAGCACTGTCAGGAAGCTCGGAAGAAGTGTTCTACGTGAGTACTGTCTGCCTGAGTTAAAGGTGTATTTAAATCTTACCTATTGTTGTTACTGTTTGTTGTATTACATTATTGTGTAAAATCTTGTCTGTCACCATGCGTTGTATCGATGTTGGCAGGTTTTTAAAATTTCAAGCTTGCATACCAGTTTCATCTCTCCCTAGTTGCTCTATATGAACCCTATTCAGGTGTAGTCTGTATGTTTTTATGATTCAAGACCACATTTATTTATTTTAGGTTCGTGTTCGAGCTTATGATAATGGAAGTCCTCCTAAAGAAAACACAACAACTGTAACCTTATCCATCGAGCGCAACCTTTTCGCTCCAACTGTGGACTCGCCAAGCATTACGGAACGAATTCCAGCAACACAGGCTTTAGGAGTTTCAGTGGTAGACATACCAGCTACAGATGGGGATAGCCAGGTAAAAAGAACGCTGGAATTCTCTCTTTATGTTTCTGCATAATTTTGAGAGCTTTAAAAATGCATAAAAGATAATGACTTAAACATGGATGTTCACTTAACCAGTTGGTATATGTTCACCACCAGTCAGTGGTGCAGGTGTAAAGAGTGTTATGTTAGCCTGTCTTGTTTCTCCTTCAGTCCATATTCAAATGCCTTATATGTCAAAAGGCACAAATTGGATTCGTGACAGGTAATATTCAAAATCCTTGTTTATTTTATATACTTTTCCTTCATAGGTAATGACGAAAGTCTTTAGGGAACATCTGTTTGGCAGATGAACTTATGCTGTGATGTTACATTCTTTGTCCATCTGTTGTCCATTCTTTCTTTTGTGTGCCTAGTGTGAACTTTTCCTATCAAACACCTTCTCAATTGCAAAAGCCCCAGGGTACTGATGTTGGGCATGCAACATGCTGGAATGAAAGGTTACCAAATTTTTGTGCAGTGACTGATCTGGACCCACTACAGGGCTCTCGATCTGCCAGATTTGGGGCCGATATTCTGCCCCATTCCCAATGTAAAATAGTATCTTTTTTCCCAATTTATACCCCAAGTTTTCCCAATTCTAAGGAAAATAATGTTATTTTTCCCGATTCTAAGGGCCCCGGGCCCCAGTCCCAAAATGGGGTGTGAGAGCTTTGCACTATAAATGCCCGAGGTATCAAATATGTCAAAATCTTCAAATGTCTTTTTTCTCAATAACGGAACAACCCCAGGTAATGATATTGGGCCTGCAGCATACTGGGATGAAGGGCTACTAATATTTGTTTAAATGAATGACATGACCATCTGTCAAATAACTTCTCAATCACCAAAAGGCCCTTGATACAGAGACAGATGTTGTTCTGTTGGATGTTGGGAGGAAGAGCTTAAATAAGTGACTTTGGCTGGAAAAGCCTACAAAGTCTTCAGTGTAATCTTCAGGCAGATGAGCCATTTAAGCAGATTGGGCCTCTTGTCCAGTGAAGCCACCAACAGAAAGGAGGGTATTTAAGTAGTTTTATTGACTGAGAAAATTTCAAATTAGTCGACAAAGAAAACAACCTTTTCAGGCAGCTGGTTGCTATATATATCTGAATCATTAAAGAAATGGATGTAGTATTTGGTTTAGCAGTGTAGGGCTTTATCATGCTGCGCATATCAATTTGGTCCATTAGCCCCAAGTCGCGGGTTTTTCAATTCGTTTTCTACATACATAGTTTTGTATAGTACAGTTATAGTGCATCCGTACAGGACCATTTTCGCCTGGTTCTTCAGTAGAACTCAGGACCTCGCCTGGTGATGTTACCTAGACTGTGTACTATTTTAGCAGTCTTCGTTGTACAGGACTCCTTCGCCTGGCAACAAGCTGATTTTACTCATTTTCAAATTTGTCATGTTTTATTTAATAGTTTAAACCTTCATTCTCGATCAACCAATGTTCAAAATTTTCATTTATACTTCTCATTCCTACAACCAGGACCACCTTTTCCTATTTCGGACTAGGACTCGCCTGCATGTAGGAATCATACTCATCTTCATTCATACATCTGGTTATCACATACAGCAGCGGAGACAGCCCTGAATGCAAAATTTTTATATGTTTTCATGTTGTCCAATGTTATGTATATATATGTTTTGTTATGATCTTATTAGTATGGTTTTTATATTGGATGTGTTCATTACAATTTTCTAATCGTATATCCATCGTTTGTTGTTGTTTATAAATGTAATCATATTGTTTATTTCAGGCGCCGAACAACGTTATTCGTTACAACCTCACTGCCTCAGCTGCTGTACTGGAATTCTTTGACATTGATGTTGTGAATGGGTTTATTTATGTTAAGAAGTCTCTAACGCTTGATACAGCAGAGACCCAACAATTCACGGTACAGTGGAATTCTCTTACTTAACTAATATAAACAAAATATTACCTGTACATAGATTTTGTGAGAAAATGTTTTAAACAACAGCTTCACTGCAGTTGATGCTAAAAGAGTCATCTACAGATTTTCTAAGGACCATACTTTATTAACTGGAACCAATTTGCCAATGTCAAATCCACAATAGTTGAGACATTAAAGTCTCAACTCCACAGTGATAAGTAATTTCATTAACATTAGTTACCAGAATTGGTTGATTTTTCATGTATGCCTATAAAATTCTTTTTCTGCGTTGCAGATGAGTGTTTCTGTTTACGACATGGGAACAGTTTCAAAAACATCGCCTTCATCCACAGCAGTTATCATCAATGTGTACAGGAACAGGAACGCTCCATTCTTTAGTGCCCCAAATTATGCTACCACTATTTCAGAGGGGCGTGCTGTCGGTGACAATATTCTTCCAATCGGGTTTGGAGACAGCGACACGGACGTAAGTATGGGAGTAAGGACAAATGATACAAAGAATAGGTGCTAGTCATAATGGATATGAGTCAGCAAAGATGTGAATCAGGACAGTTATGAGTCAGAACTGTTGTGAGTCAGAACAGATGTGAGTCAGAACTGTTGGGAGTTGGAACAGATGGGAGTCAGAGTAGATGGGATTAAGGACAGATACCAGTCAGGACAGATGTGAGTCAGGACAGGTGTGAGTCAGAACAGATGCAAGTCAGGACAGGTGTGAGTCAGACCTGTTGTGAGTTGGAACAGATGTGGGTAAGAGCAGATGTGATTGATGACAGATGTGGGTAAGGGCAGATGTGATTGATGACAGATGTGGGTAAGGGCAGATGTGATTGATGACAGATGTGGGTAAGAGCAGATGTGATTGATGACAGATGTTGGTAAGGGCAGATGTGATTGATGACAGATGTGGGTAAGGGCAGATGTGATTGATGACAGATGTGGGTAAGGGCAGATGTGATTGATGACAGATGTGGGTAAGGGCAGATGTGATTGATGACAGATGTGGGTAAGGGCAGATGTGATTGATGATTGATGACAGATGTGGGTAAGGGC